AAGGTTACAGACTCGAGTAAGATTCCTTGTTCCACTCTTTCAGATCCGAATTATTAATTGATATTCAGTTTTTCTAATTAAACAGGATCCGATCAAGTTCAAGTACGAAACCTATCCAAACCCAATCCATCAAACCATCCCAAACCAAAGACCAACCTCTCCCAAAGATATTACACATCTTCCTCCGAAAGCGAACCATCATCAACATCAAATCATACTCACCAAGCCCCTCAAAAGAAATTAGATAAAAATCTCATTTCATCAAGTTGATTTATCTTAACGGGTCTAAGTCTATTACTTCATTTCAAAGATTAAAACGAGTAAGGTATAAAACTAAAAGAGAAGAAACAAAACAAAGATCAACTGGAAAAGTTAAAGCTGAAGGTGAATTTGAATTATTAAATGTTGAGAATGGTAAAATATCTAAGCAAGATGATTTATTAGAAAACTTCCCTTTGATTTATGTAAGTTTTTTTATCTCTGTTGATATTGTTTTGAACTGATTCTTCTTTTGGATTTGGGTTTTGGCTATTGAAATGACTTAGTAAAATTTGTCCTGATCTATGTCCTGAAGGATTAGATAAGATGAGTGATGCTGTAATCCAAATCGGTAATCAAACCATTTCCTCTCCCCCTCACAAACCTCACAGACCCACATTCAAACTCCCACAAAAGCTGACAAATTTGAATTTTGCCAAAATATAGATGTAGATTGATTTGATGTACCCATCTGACCAATTGATGTGTCAGTAGATCCAAATCAAGATACACCAGAAGCAATAATCCAATACTTGAAAGGTTTTCATTCATCTATGATAGGATTGACAGCATCATGTAAATCTATAATGTGTAAAGTTGATTGAGTTTATTGTTTTATCACACCTAACTTGAAACCAACAGATGATTGTTTTTTTGGCAATTTTGTGTAAGCTCTTTTTCTTTCTGATTTCTCAGTGGTAGAGTTGTTAATGTTAACTTTTTATGTCTGTTTGTGTTCCAGATTTTTTTATTTAAAACTTTAGATCATGATGCATTTAGATCAGCAGCTATCAGCACCAACAAATCTAAAAGAAAATAAAAAAGAATCCAATTTGAAATGAACCAAAATCCTTACAACATCAATTATAAATAAAACAAAATCGGCCAAGGTCTCAGTTGTTAGTGCTGGTGGATTGGTTGTGGATCATTAAAAAAAAGTTTGTAGTTCTTTTGAAGATACTATAAGTGCAAGTCAAAAAAACAGACTTCAATCAAAGTCAAGAAAAGTGATGGTTTGGGTGTTTTTGTAGATTGACTTAGATATAATGGATCCTTTGCATTTGATAATTGAGACAAGATAAGATGCCCCCATTTTCAAGTTAAATGCATTTCAAAGCAAACTTTAAGCTTTGATCAATCACTCAAATCCTCAATTCACCAAACAATTCATACACTTCTGAGCCAAAATTGAATAAGTTGTAACTCATTGTTTATTTGGATTTGAATTATTTGGATTTTAAAGGCTTATAATTTTGTCTTTACACTTATTTGAAGTTCCTTCCATGATTCATTGATGGATCTTTTTCAAGTTGATCTGTTGATTTCTTTTAGATTGTAAATCAT